TTTCCCTCCTCCCCTTTTTCCCTGCTGCCAAAGTTGGTGGCAGCAAGGGACTGGGAAGAAGAGAGGCAACATTATTGCCATGGAATCATAGAAAAGTAGGGCTGGCATGGACCTCCAGAGGGTGTCTAGTTCAACTCCAGTTGAAGGCAGGATCATCTGTATGCAGACCATCCCACACAAGTCCTTGTCTAACCATTCTGGGAACTACACAATCAACTCTGTAACACAACTGCAACCACCCTTCCTTGCTACAGGTAAAGCAGGGGGACAGTGGTGGTTAGTTAATGTCCTGCTGCTGTAAGGGTTGTTAAAATGCACACCAAAGCAGTGGTTCTGGCCAGGACCCATGCTGGCAAGCCAGTAAACTCAGAAAGCTCACCACACATATACCACAGAGCCAAAGGGGTATATGGCTGCACCTCTTTGCTCCCCTGGATCCACTGCTATTTATCTTGGAGTCTAAATTAAGACCCGTAAAAAATCATGCACTGGATATCGAAAGTATGCTCACAAACAAACATTTACATAGTTTATTAGGCATTTATTTCTAAAACTATTCTATCATATACTCTGGATTAAATATGAGAACTCTCTGAATTAACATATGAATGCTGTGTCCCTTGCAAAGTGCTGTCATGGCTCATGTCTGAGAAATTGTATTTACGTAGATTTGCTCTGTACGGACAGAAGGACAAAGCAAGATAGTATCTGTTGTCCAGGCAATTATTCAATTTATGCAAAATACACAATTCAGAATTCAAAATACAGAAATGCAGTCATATAGGAATTTTAATCCAGGGCAGTGAATTGTACTTGTTGTATAATTAGATTGCAGGCAACAGTATATTTCATTAGCCTTCAGTGTCTAATCTGTTGGATTATGTACAGTTTGGGCAAACTGTAGCTAATTTTACCTGGCTCTTTATAAAATGGGAGACTTTTACAAACTCACAGCAATTGTTGCTCTTGACAGTGTCAGGTCCTGTCCTATGCTCCTGCTGTCATCCTGATAATCTGGATTCTGATCTACTTTTAGCTGGATTTACATTCAACTAAATGTACTGTAGTTTATATCAAAGGTTAGCTGTTATTCTTGCAGAGCTGGCTCACAGATGGCTCAGCACTCCACTACATGCCTCAGGGCTTGCATTAAAAGCCTGGTCCAGACAATTGGGTTAATAGTCTCCTCCCAGCATAGAAATTTGAATTTTCCATGCAGATATGACCTGACATTCACTGTTCAGAGTGAGAGAGTACCTGTTCAGTGCTTGAAAAAGCAGTATGTTGTCACAACCCAAAGGGTGTGATTTTTGTTTGTGTGTGCTTCGGCACTGCTAAATTGTCCTTGCTAAATTACAGCTTCCTTGCACGGTGGAGTTTTCTGCTGCAGAGAGGAGAACCCCGGTGCAAGGGAGAATTTCCCGCCAATTTGAAGCTTTCTTTGCAAGGTGCATTTCTTTGTTGCAGCACAGAGATGCTCGTTGCAAAGCGTTCCCGCCATTTGTATGCTAATTTGAGTCCCATTATTGGCCAGTTCTAAATTATTCACACGTGGCGGCTAGTGATTGGCTTGCTAGCCGTATAAAAGGCTTGAGTGGTTTCCGCCCAAGTTGGAGGACTCCACGAACACCGGGAGGAGGAGACTTCACGCTGTGTGAAGATCTCTAAGCGCTGCGGATCCTTACGGACCCAGTGCATTTAAAGCAGGCAACGGAGGTCTGATCAACCTCTAGCCTCTCCCCGTCGCCGATAGATTCCCAGACGTATCCCTTCCTGCGCGCAAAAGAACCGGACCTACGAAGCCTAGCAAACTTCGTGGGGATGAGTGAGCAGAAGGACCCACGGAGCCTAGCAAACTTCGTGTGAGTTTATTCAGAGCTCTTCCGGGCGAGTACTTTCTTCGGCTGACACGACGGGCTTGCGTGTTCAGAGCCTTCAGCCGGACTGGGCTAGAGTTCACGAGTCTAGAACTCTTGTCCGCCTCTCTTCTTTCCTGTCTGTAACTGCAACTTAAGCAAGTTTTCCAGCCTACACCACTGCCATCTCGGTGTAAGTAAACAATCTTTAAAACTACCACTACGCGTTTGTGCCTAATTCCAGCTCGAAGGCCTTTCCTCTCTGACCCGGCGTGCCCGGGCTGCTGGCCACAGCCCGCGTGCAGCGCGGAAAAGGGCTTGGGTCGCTCCCGGCCCGCACATATGTATGATGAGGTACCAAATAGATTGTTTGGTAGGTTTCGCATTCAAATGTTACCTTTATTCTCCTTGTCTCACTCAAGTAAATATTAATTACTCATATATTAGAAAGCATGGATTAAGGGAGACAAAGCATTTAACATCACAGGATAACATTTTAACGTGGTAGGAGGTTTAAAATCAATATGTATTATCTGTTCAAAACTGAAAACTTCTAGAATCAGTCTCAGCTGGTATAAATTATCTTGAGATCAGTGGAATAACATTGATTTTTCTCGGCTGAGGATCTAGAACCTATTCATTTTACACAGATTGTCTAAGTTATTCTCAGATAATTGAGCCACTATCCTTACATTTAATAGTGGCCATGTCTACATGAGACATTGACTGCGCTGTAGCTCATTACAGCTGCACAGTAGCTCATTACTACTGTGCAGTAGCATTATGTGGCATGAAGCGTGATGCGATGCTGCTGTGCAGTAGTAATGAGCTACTGTGCAGTCAGCATCACCAAAAAGCCATTCCGGGAATGCCAGTTACCGCGCAGTCCTTTAAATACTTGTATATGCAAGTACTAAGTGACTGCATGTGTAACAACTGTGCAGTCAGTGTCTCGTGTAGACACGGTCACTAGATAAAATACATGCAGAAAAGTGCAACAGGGAATTCTGTGACACAAGGAGCATGCCATCTCACAGAGCCACACACCCTCTCATTTGCTCTTTTTCTTCCAGCCCCACATATCTCCTTCCCTTGGCTGTCCAGAAGGCCAGTTTCAAACAGAGCACCCAAGGGAGGGTGGGCCTGGATGATGCCTAACCTATAGCATGGGGATTGGAGCACTGTCCTGGGAAGTCTAAGAAATCTGGATTCACACTCCCTCTCAGTGAAGGAAGGCCTAACTCCTGTGACTCAGTCTTCCCAGACAAACACCCTAAATACTCAGTTATTTGAGCTAAAACATGAGATGGGCCTCCTCCTTCTCCCTTTTCCTTGGGCTAATACTTGGATATGCCTGACCACTGCATACTCTACTCTGCATGTTCAGTCTATACACACATGCTTATGTATCCAGGGCGCAGAGGCAGGGCCAACAAACCTAGAAAACTGCCATTTAGGTGGAAGGAGCGGGGTGGAGATAGAATTCCACTCTTAGTGAGCAAGAGAACGAATAGCTATTTTACCTCTAAACCTTCAAATGACTAGTTTTGCCTTCAAAGAGATCACAACATATGTGCTGGGTTTTTGGTTGTAGCCATGTTGGTCTAAGGACATAGGCAGGCAAGGTTTTCACTGGAGTCAGGATACAGGCCTAGGAAAATCAAAAAGAAATAAAAGTTACCAAGAGAGAATTTATAGCACTTGGTTAAATGCATCGTTTTCATCCTTTGTCCTATCTTGTATAGGATTAGGAATAAATTAATTACTTTTGGTGGATTCCAAGGGACAGAGAACAGCTATCAGTTTGGCTGTGCCAGGCTTAATATTTCCCTTTGCTCTCAAAGAAATGCATGCAAGGGAGTATGGACACAAGAACACAACAGGTAGATCTGGCAAACACCCAGATTGGCACTGACAAGTTTCTCTCATTTCTTTGTGTATGAATAGTTGTATATATAAAAAGGTGGTGCCAGGCCTAGCTGTCTGAGTTTATTAAGAGGAAATAGAGCTTTAATAAAAGACTTTACCATGGCCATATATGTTGGATGATTATAGGGACTGGGGCAAGACAGAACTGAAGCCAAGAGGTTAGAAGTATTGGCCATAATGAATATGTAATCAAGCACAAAAATAAATCAGGAACATATTGAATAGTTTGAAACTGCGCTGGCCAATGGAATGAGTCATTATAGATAATGACTTGGCTTGTATTTAGGAGCCTGAAAAATAAGATAAAAATGTCATTTGTTCCAAGAGCCAAGGGTCTAATTCTGTAAGATTTTGATTTTCCTCAACTCTCATTGACTTCTCTGTTGACAGAGGGAGCCAATGGCGCAAAATGTCCATGTTGAATTTGTTCAATATGAAATTGTTCAAGTGAAAATATGCACTCTCATGATGGTTCCTTTCAAGCTATTTTGGCTGAGCATGACAACATAACACCGACAAACACTTCAGGCTTCCTTCTGTCTGGAAAATGTACCCAGGGTATTTGAACTTTTAAATTGTGAATAAGCAAATTCTTTGCCTGAGCATGAACAACAAACCCATCTGCCTGCAGGGCATGTCTGAGCATGTCTAGCCTCATCAAGGCTTTACATCTTCATCAGCGAGCCTAAATCATGTAACGTAGTCAGAATGGAGAGCTGCTGTAATCTTTCTCTCTCCCTCTCTCTAACCTCCCCTGGGGATACAGTTGTTGTTAAATATTTGTGCATGCAGTGTACATGTCTTAGAATGTATTTGTTTTAATATAGGGAGCTAATAAACTGTGGCCACCTAAAGTACTGGAATGAAGATGATATTAACAATAGAATAATCAGTAGAATAAATAGAGCTGATACATATAAAAGGGAAATGGTTGGGAAAACCCCCATTGTAATATGGACATGTCTGATACCTGCGGACAAAGTCTTGCTCTATTGAAGAGAACAGCAACTACTATTAGTTTGCATTCAGCTAATATTTGGCCAGTAACACTCAACTATAACAATGCTTGCATAACAGTAAAGGATAAAAGACATATCTTTCATGGTTCTCCATTACCAACATAGCAGGGAACAACTTTTCTTTCATCTGTATGCATTCACTGGGGATACAAGAAAATGATGTTTTGATTCATTTGAAGCTGACTTCAAACCTCTGGCAAGCATAACTTGCAATCTATTTTTCAGCTCAGCTGGTTGTTTTGGACAAGAATGATCCTATCATATCATATCATTCTGCAAGACCACATGAAATGATTCCACGCTCATTCTCAACAGTTTGAGGCAACTTTATTTGGACAAATAGCTTTTATAGATATGGATATTATAGATGAATAGCATTTTCACTGAAGAACATGGTTTTGGGTCACCTGGATCTGTGTGTAGATTGTTACCAAACTGATGAATAGTTTCAGCTGAAAAATTAAGAAGAATACTGAAAAAGTGAAAACATCTGATTTAGCCTGCTCTTAAAAACTTCTAAGGCTGGAGATTCAAGGCAATCTGTTCTGATACTTAAACACAGTAAATAAATACAATGCAATGGAAATGTCAACTTTTATAAAAATGGTTTAATTTTTGTTTTGAAATTATGTAACATTAAAAATGTTTCAGTTTGGCCACTGAATTTAATAATCAAATATTCACCCAACTCTAAACTTAAAGATTATTAGATTAAGACCTTTGTTGTAGTAGTCAACATCTCCCATTTAGCAATGACAGCTGGGTTGTTCCATTTTTAATCTGAAATTAGAGGTGAGCCATAAAAATGTATTGGATCCAAGCAAAAAGGGTTGTCATTCAGGTAGAGGAGAGGAAATTATGGACTACTAATCATAAAGAGTTTAAATCAAGTATCACAAACTGGGAAATGAGGTGACTATCCAACATCAATTTTCCTGAATCTTTTTCCTCAAAACAGTGCTTCTGAAATATTTTCAGACCTACTTAATCACTCCCTTGTGTTTTGTTTTGGAACAGGTGTTAATTCTTTCCAAGTCTACATGGCCTATAAAGATCTTTACCAAATGTCCGACAGCCAGGTAATTTTTTTACATGTTCTTCATTGGCAATACATCCACATGCTGTTTTTAGTTGATCTCTTAATAAGGTTTGGATCACACTAGAAAGTGTATAGCTATCTGATGTGGCAGTGTTGGAGTGATGCTGCAGCTGTGATGGTCCAGGAAAGATGAGAGGCAGCAGAGTTGTCTTCTAATTCAATGTAAGGTGAAGTTGCTAATGACTAGTATAGCTGCTAGCCCAAACCTTTCCCTTGCGCTTTCAAGATGGCACAGTTATCCTTTAGAGAGGAGTGTTAGTCCATGTAGGAGGGAGCCTCAAGAAGGGAATCTGTGCCAGCAAGCTTCTCTAAGTTCTCTCCTAACTATATAGTTGGTCCAATAAAAGATTTTATCTCTCAAAATCTTTGCCTCCCATATGTGGCTATCTGAGACATTCATGTTGCTTTTGAACTGACCTTGGGGAAATGCATACCTGTGAAATTTCTCTTTGGAGCCCCTAAACTTGAGATCCGTTGAACACCTACATCTTCCACTTGAGGCCATTGAGAGACATACCTACCATGCCACAATATCAGGCCTAGTAAGAGTTGCAGACCCCCAGAATCGCTCAGGATTTTGTCCTGGATTTGTATTCTGAGCCTGTTAGCTTTACAGCATTCAGTCTGACAGCAGTAAAACTGAAACAGCTTTTGAGATCACAAGTGCTTCTCAGTCACTGAAAACTGCTAAAGCATGTTATTCTTTGGGAAAGGCTATTCTTAGCTATCAGAGCTGGAGTCATTACAATGACTTTATTTGTATAACACTTGTTACAGACTCCAGACTCTTCAGCTTTCCAGTTCAGAAGCATCAGATCATTGTACTTGGATAATGGCATCTGTTAGACATAATAATGTTTGCTTATTCAGTTGAGGAAACCTCTCATTCCCAGAGCCAAGTTTCCTGGTCTCTTAAATAAATGTTGTTACACCTCCATTACATGTGGTTACAACTGGAATTTTAAACATAACTGTTCTCTGAGAAAAAAATACATGCTGAATCCAACTTGACTGAGGAGCTGGCACTAACATCATTCAAAGAAAAGACATGGAAGTTTTTGAACTTGAATAAATAAATTAGTGCCTGTTTCCACCTCTGAAGGCTCAGAGAAACACTTGGGCTGCTTTTACATGTGCTCCGGGGGTGGGTGGGCAGCACTTTAATTAGAGCAGCTCTGAGAGCTGATTTAATTTAAGTGCCACAGCATCTCATGTATCACTGTCCCCATGCTTAAAAATGGTGGCAGGGGCGCTTGAACTAAAGCTCAGTTGACAAGCTTTAGTTCAAGTGCCCCCACAGCCATTTTTAAGTGTGCAAACACTGGTACATGAGACGTGGGAGGCATGGTAATTAGCATGCTCCAACAGACTCAATTAACTGAGTCTGCTCCAGTGCACTGTAATTACAGCACACTGGAGCAGCCTCCGTGCTTGTGTACAGGCGCCCTTGGATACTCCAGCCCATTTAGCACTGGCTTAAGTGCCCAAGTGCAAGACTGAGTACCTGAACTGTAGGTGTCCAAATTTGAAACCTGGGCTTTTACAATGTGAGCAAATATGGAAAATATATGGTGGAATTTTCAGGACTGCATAATGGAATTAGACTCTGCTTATGATCCAAATCCCTTAAGTGGTTTAAAAAAACTAAGAATAGTATCTATAGCTTTCCTTTAGTGGGGATTGATTGGTTGTTTCTGAATGTTAGAAAGCAATGAACAGAAGGAAGTCCATGAGCGAACAGTGAAGTTCCTCAGCTGTAAGTGAAAGTTATAGAAGTGAAACTTTGCCCACTTGCCTGTGTTGGAAAGGGTGGAGAGCTACTTGATCATAGAAGAACTCCTGGAGTTCTTGATCATATTTCTCCAGGAGTGGGCATTTCCCCAGTAGTGCAGCTACTGATTCTGCCTTTAGGAATGTGCTCATATGTGTGATTGACTGGCTTGGTGGGAGGTGGGTTCCCAGGCTGGCTAGAGCAGCCACAGTGAGCACGTGGGGGCTACAGATGCCTCTGGCTCCTTGAAGAGATTTCAGAGTGGAGGGAGAAAGTGGAAGCTCCTTCCAGACGCACCCCAAGAATACTTGTGGACAAGGGGAAAATGTCATTTAAAATAAGAAAATAGAGATTTGCAACATATTTCTTGTTCAGTATTTTTTCCCACTTTGTATCGCCTCCAGCTTTATGAAGCTTTTACCTTTCTGAAAAGTCTTGGTGCTGTAATGATGGTACATGCTGAAAACGGAGATTTGATAGCTCAGGTGAGTGAGTTTGATTCTCTTGTTTCATTTTGAAAGAGGATATGTTTCACGTGGCAAAGAAGTGAAACTCATCTGTGAATAAAACAGGTAGAGTGATGCTGGAAAACAGAGACCGCCTTCCTAGTTGAATATGATTTTGTATACAGATAACCATTGGGCTATGGGACACCAATATAGAATTTTAAAAGTGTGTACAGCATGTATGCTGTAAAGTGACACCCCCAGAAACTCCCTGCATGGGGTCTAGAGAGTAAGGACAGTCTGTGTGGGAAGCACATAAGAAGCAAGATGGACTTCTCTGTGGTCCCAGGGAACAGAGGCGATTGAATAGACCTCATACCCTGAAGAACTTGGTGATGGGTTAAAGAACTGGGACATCTCATTTCAGACTGGCTGTAAGGAAAAGCTTTGTGTGACCAGACTCTGGAATAGACTCCCAATGGGGTGATGAAGGCACCTAGCCTGGAGATCTTCAAAAGGAGACTGGACACACACCTTGCTGGAGTTATTTCCTGCCCAGCAGTCTTTTCTGCCCAGAGCAGGGGGGCTGGACCTGATGATCTCATGAGGTCCCTTCCGGCCCTAAACTTTTGTGAATCTGTGTGAATCTAATTTATAGGTTGTTGCTGCTGAAGAAACCAGCATTAGGGGTATAGGTGTAGCTTAAAGATCTTATGGGGTTGTTGCTCTCTCCTGTTAAAAGGATCATTATAAAAACCTGAGGTGGGGGGCTTAAACCCCTTATAAAATGCCCAAATGGCATGTACTTGCTTCAGCAGCAGAGGATATAGTTAGTAGCAGTGCCTTATGAGAAGGGATCCTGGTTTTCTCTGATTTAAAAAAAATCCACAATTTTTGGTTTAAAAAAAGGAATCCCAAATCCACATTTTTCTGTGATTAAAATGAAACACTACTAATACATAGATATCTATACATTGACGTTTCATTTTAATCACGGAAAAATGTGGAACTGGGGTAATTTTTTTAAAACCAAAAATTGGGGATTGTTTTTTAAATCAGAGAAAACCAGGATCCCTGCAGATAATACATACATCCCTGCATATATACATACATTATAATACAGCAGAAGGATGTGAAATAGTACAAATATTATTAACACTATTGAACCTTTTTAGAGTGGATCATTTTGCTTTCTTCATCCATCTTCAGAATACAACTCGCCTGTTTTTAAATGAAGCCTTTCTTTGATATCATTCTATTTGTTATATATAATGTATTTATAATAGTTTATTTTGTTATGCTTTAATTGTCTGAAATGTTCTGTTTGCATTCATCAAAGGTGCATTTTAGAATTCAATCTACTGTTTTTATTATAATCTTCAAGTATTGTGGTTTTCTAACTCATGCATGCAAGCTCTTTAGTATAGTGAACAAATGCCTTTAGGGTCATAATGGATTGTCTGTCTGTCACCAGAGAAGTGAAAGAACAAATATATATGTATGACCTAACTGATTCTTATTGCAGGACAGAGGTAATGTGGTAGCTTTTCACCCCCAGAGACCTGGGATGAAATATTTATTAGGTTACACATGACAATGTGTCAGGTGATTTCAACCTTGTCTCCAGGGGACATTTGTCTATATCACAGAATCATTACAGTTGTCAAATTCTGCTCATTAGAGACCTAAAGCGGAAGCAGGTCAGGATTTGAGGTGCATTAACAGCTTGGTATGAGGAAGCTTCTACTGCTTCAGGAGGTCCTATACCAAGTATTGTACCAGGAGTATATATCCATCACTTATTTATGATAAAAAAGCTTACATTAAGAAACACCCTTAGCCATCAGCATTATATGAAATCATAAAGATTATCCATATTTTATTTAATCACACTGATAAGAAGCTTTGTTGTCATAACTGTTTGATGTGATAATTTTTTGCTAACCCACATCAACTGACCAAGCGTGAATATTTAGAATGTTTTTCCTTAAGCTTAGTATCAAAATATTATTAAAAAAAAAAAGTAATACCAAAGGGGATTTAGTTCTTCTCTTTAATGATTAGTTGCAAAAAAAATGACAGAAAGATTAGATTATGAAAGGGATGCTGATGGAGAATAAGTGGTAAATGCATAATGTGAAAAAGCTTTACTTCACTGGGCAGAAAGAAAGAAGAAAAATGATTGTTGAGTAGAAGAAGGATTTCAAGTGTGGGGTTCTCCTCAGTAAGTACTTTATGTTCAGATGGTATAGAGCTCAAACACAAAAAACGGAGTCAGTGAGAAGCACTAGCACACACTAAAGGATGTTTACTGACAATGTATCTTGTTTTAGAGATAGTCAGAATTTGCCTGTTGTATTCCAGGAACAAAAACGGATCCTAGAAATGGGAATAACAGGGCCTGAGGGACATGCCCTGAGCAGACCTGAGGAGGTAAGAGACTCAAGTCATTTTGTATTTCTTGGATACAATTTTTTTCTTTTTGTATTGCTCATTGTAAGGAGTTGCCATACCATGAGCATTAGGTTTCTTATAAATGCATCAAATAAGAGATCATGGATGACTAGGTAGTAGTGGGGGAAGTCAGATTGTCTGCGTTTTAAACAATAATGCCATTCTGTGCAAAATGCAAAAAATTGTAACGTATATAAAATATTCATAGATCATATCAGTGTCAGCAGAACAATGCATTTCAGTGGAAAACACTTCTAAGAAGTCAAGTTTTTCCATTAAATGGGCATAAGCACAAACATAGATGTACCACTGCAAGTTGTGGTATTGTGAATTCATGGGAATGAAGGGATTCCCTGCGTCAGCACTCTTTATATAACCCTTCTTTCAAAATAAAATTAGTATCTTGGCTTGTCATCTTAGGGCTGAAAAAAGATTGTTTTTAAAGACTAGAACAGATATAGACATGTAATGAGTCATGCATATACACAGTCTGTGCACTCATGGCACAATCAAGATGAGCTGCTATACTTGTTGACTTCAGAAAACAAGGCCCAAGGGGTATGAAGCTAAACTTGAAAAGGTTTTTGTGGTTTAGATGATAACTGCTCCCCAAGGCAAAAAAGACATTAATTGATCATAATGTTTCCTCACACATTTCAAATTGTAGAGTTTATATTTTTCTATTCACTGCCTGATAAAATTGTTGAGGCTTCTATTAATGGCAGTGACTGTCCAGGGAAAATCCTAACTTGACATTTGTCAAAAAGTAATTTTAAATATTTCTTACAATGGCATCCGGTCATGAGAGACCCAGTGTGGAGGTTCAAAACTTCTTCACTTCTACCACAGGCTTGCCTGAAGATAAACCACACCCTTTCTTGCATAAGTAGGTGCATCACAAACAGGCCCAGGGAAGTGATACTTCCCCTCTATGCAGCATTGGTCAGGCCATAGCTGGAGTACTGCGTCCAGTTTTGGACACCGCACTTCAGGAGGGATGTGGACGGCCTGTAGAGGGTTCAGAGTGTCTCGGACGGCCAGGGCCGACTCGAGTTACGCTCGTACGTCAGGGCGGGCTGGTGAATGGAGAGGCAGACACAACTTATTGGTTGTAAAAAACTTTACTCACACCGCTTGCAATCACGACGCAGGTTGTCCGGTCGTCGGAACAACCACACGAGTTGTTCCAGCTGGCGGGGCCCAAGCCAGTTAATCCGTCCGCAATTCGAAGCCGGCGGGGAAAGGGGTACGTCGGGGTTGC